TGTCACCCTGTAGGGAGTCAGGGTGAGACTCAGATGGTGGCTATAAATGGAGCCCCTCGTACTGTGAGAAAGAACACCCAAGGAAGGCACCTGCTAACAAACCAGCCACAAGAGATCAGTGCCTGCTCTAGTTTCACTTCTGATGCTATGGAAAATGCTCTGACAAAAAACATGTTTGGGAAGACAGGTTTGGTTTGACTGACACGTCCAGGTTATAGTCCAGTACTATGGGGAAGTCGAGGCACAGACTTAAAACATTACACCCACCATCAAGAGCAAAATGAGAATAAATACACGGATCTCACTTCCTTGCTAGCTCTCAGCTAGCTTTCTTTGTTCTTACACCGTTCAGATCCTCCTGCCTAGGAAATGGTGCTACCCGAAGTGGGCTGGGTCTTCCTTCATCAATTAACAATCATTGTAATCCCCACTGGCATGTCCATAGGCCAATCTGACCCAGGAAATTTTTCATTAAGAGTTTCTTCTCAGTTGACTCTAAGTTGTATCAAGTTGAAAGTTAAAACTAACCAGCAAAACACCCTTACACTCAAGGTTCATGGATGCTCCTGGGCTCCTCCAGCCACAAGAAAACACAGCTTCAGATTGCCACTCTAGAACACAAAGCATCCCCCAGCAACCCCTGTCTTCAGTGTCTCAATCTGGGTTTTATCCAGAACTGTGAGCCATCAGGTTTTGCCTCCTCAGGCATGAGTGCTTTTGTCTATCAGTCCAGATTGACCAAGACAACAGGAAGAGACCACAAGTAAATGACAAATTCATTGTTAACCCTGGCAGTATCTGGGAGTTTCTTCTAAGTCTTCATAGGAAGCATTTTCAGACTCCCAGGAAGAAAACCCAGTTCCCATCTTCAATAATTGCTCTGTAATTGCCTGGTGATGGTGTGAGGAGTTGGAATCCCCATACAACATTGCTGGGAATGCAAAAGTGATGCAGCCCCTGGGGCAACAGGACAGAATCCTTGAAACATTCCACAAAGAATTGCCATGACCTAGAAATTCCACTACCTACCTATAAGCAGGGCTACTGGGGCGTCTTCTTATGTATGTTCAATCACAAAAGGTTCACAACAGCCAAGAGGCAGGAATGGCCCAATAGCCAATCAGTGGGTGCAGGAATGGCCAAGCAAAGTGTTATTTATTTTTGAAAAGGAATATGCCACCACCCAGGTGAGCTCTGTGGATACCATACCACACATGGCATACTGCAGTTCTCCACTGTGCGAAGCGCCGAGAGAGCTGGATTTGGACACAGAGCGAAGGGTTCGGTTCAGGGACCAGTGAGAAAGGGTGGCTGGGTGTGTTCTCAGACATGAGTTTCTATTTACAGGAGGAAAAGGCTCAGGGGAAGAAGGGTGGTGATGATTCAGAGCAGGTGAATGTACTCTGGCCTCTGAAATGACAGTCATGGTGCAAATGATACGTGATGTCATCATCTTTAGCAGATGAAGCCTCTGAGGGCCATGCACTGTGCCCACTGTCCTCATCCAAGCTCAAGGGCTCTGCCACCCCTGCATGTTGGTCCCTTAGTTTGCTCTGCACTGCTCATCATCCTTGGGCTTTGAAACGACTCGGTACTTTTAAGCCCCCTGCCTAGAGGATGATGCTGCCCACAATGGGCTGGGTCTTCCACATCAGTTATCAGGAAAATCCCACAGACCTGTCCATAGGTCAGTGTTAACTAGATTAACAGCACAAATGAGCATGCGTTCTGCCAACAGCATCATGTCGTTTGCTTTTCTATCAGCAGCTCCCTAAAGGTTTTCAGAGATCATTTTCAGTTTGCCTCTAGAATGAGACTGTCAAGATATACTTAAAAAAAAAAAAAAAAAAAAAAAAAAAAAAAAAAAACTCT